ATACACAAACATAATAAAATACACTGTAAAATAAAAATAGAAAAATGAATTATTACGTAGTTTTATTTTATTTATTTTCCTTAATAAATAAATCATTACTATTTATACCTATTCATTTGTTTTATTTTATAAATAAGTAAATAATTAATACGCCTTATGGTTTTTTAATGGCATATCCTATTTTATGCTTTATTGTCAGTAATCTGACAAAAGGTTCAGTGAAATTATTATTGTCTAGTGTGGGTTAATGACAAATTCTTCATGTGTTTTATTTATTGCAATTTAATATAACAATATTCACGAATGTAAAACCCCAAAAATCATTGATGAACCTTGAATTCAATAACTGTGCCAACGCCCATACAGAAACGAACATTCCATATACACAAACATAATAAAATACACTGTAAAATAAAAATATAAAAGTGAATTATTATTTTATTTATTCTCCTTAATAAATAAATCATTATTATTTATACCTATTCTTTTCTTTTATAGGTTTTAAAAAGAAAATCTTATTTCGTGCACTTACGTGCCAGTAATCTGACTAAAGGTTTAGTGAAACTATTTTCGTCTTGTGTGTTGTAATTACGAGTTCTTCATGTGTTTTATTTATTTCAATTTAATTTAGTAATATTCACGAATGTAAACACCAAAAATCATTGATGTACATTTAATTCAATAACTATGCAAACGCCCATACAAAAGTTGGCCATGTCCTTTATAACTTGACTGCACGGTTGGCGCGGTGGCTAGGCAACTGACTCCCGCGCAACTTGTCGCGGGTTCGATTCCCGCACGGAACAACACTTGATCCACAAATTGTTGTTCAGGTCATGGTGTGATGTGTAACTACGTGAAATTGTATGTTGAAAAAAAAATTGGAATAATAAATAAGTCCAGGTTTCCTCACGATGTTTTCCTTCACCGTATGTCAGTGGTGCCTAAATATTCATAGAAAGAACATAGATATATACACAAGTTGCGGCTTGCCAGTTCTGTTTCTTTAACTTGGCTTGACCCGCTTCCACGTGTCTAGACAGCTCGGAAAAGACACACCCTATGAGCGGCGGGGGCGGCCTTAACCTCTGGGCCACCACGACAAACAAAAAAGAAACGTTTTTTTTAACGCAAATAAATATCGATGAAGCTGTGAAACAACGTTGCATTGTTTGGCTTCTGAGTCCATTATTATTACATTATTGTATAATATAATTAATAATACTTATTACATTATTATTTATATATTACATTATATATTACTTATTACATTATTATATGAATGTTTACAAAAGATATGGTCTCATTAAAACTACATAATTTAACAGTGTATGTGTATTGAATCTTCCTTTTTCTTAGATTTTTATTTGAGGCGGGAAAATCATGACGACTGTACTACGACAGACAAACGCTGTGTGATGCCCAATTCTTGAAGCATGGACTCGTTTGTGCGGAACTCTGTCCACGATATCCCGAGCATCCTTCTCCAGCACCACATTTCCAGAGCACCTATCTTCTTCTTTTCCAACTCACGCACCGTCCTCGTCTCCGCAGCGTAAAGAGTGGGGAATAATAATAATAAGTGTTTGTACGAGCTTGATTTTGGTGGCTTTAGTGATGTTACGATTTCTCCACACCTTTCTTAGCTTCTCCATCGCAGTCCTGGTCATAGCCATACGTCGTTTCACCTCATCTGCCATCCGCCGTTATTACTTAACTAGTAACTACTCTCGCCTATGGTATGGCGAGAGGATGTTTCAGACTCTTACTGAATTAAACCCCCCCTGAAAAGTGGTCTACAAAGTGTAGGCATGTAAAAATGTTTACAACCAGGTATTTATTTACCTAAATCGATGTTAGCTAATGAACTGAATTTAAATAATCTTTGTACCTTATTATTTTATACGAACTCATTAATATAAAAAGACATACCAACATTGTTTCCCTTTAGTTAACCACTAAACAGTTGAGAAAAGTCGAATCATTTATTTCAACTGTTTACCCAGTCTGTGAAGCTCATTAATTATACTAATTCCTCTCCAGACATTCCCATAGGATGGGGATTTACTGCAGAGAAATATTGGCAAAAATAAGGGGGCGACGCTGCAGGCAATCAACTAGTGTATACGAGTAACAGTATAATACATAGGTACACACATTTTACCTTATAAACTTTATTACGACGATTGGCTTACACCCGGTTACCGAAAGGCCGATCAATGTTAAAATCAATTTAATCTCTTGTCAAGTCATCTGATTGGTTGACTGAATTATCAACAACCAATCAGATGACTTGACAAGAGATTTGACACCTAGTTAGTTGATTTTAACATTGATCGGGCTTTCGGAAACCGGGCATTAGTCAAACTTACACACATATACAAATATAATTTCCAACACAATAATATATCCTATAATTATTGTCCAGCCTGGAGGTTAAGGCGTCCGCTTCTTACGCATGAAGGTTGAAAACCTGGAAATTACCGATGTGACTTTTTCCGAATTATAATGTAGGTATTTTCTATAATTATTTAGACACCACTGATATTTTAAGGTGAAGGAAAATGTCGTGAGGAAACCTGGACTTATAATTCCCAGTTCGAAGTTTGAAATCGCCAACCCGCATTGAGCAACCATGATGATTAATGCTCAAACCTTCTCCATGTGAGAAAGGCCTTTGCTGAGGAGTAGGGACTATATACAGCCTATAAAGGCTGAAGAAAACCTAATACAGGGTCCAAAATTCTTTCTTTAAAAAACCCCAAGAGCTATTGTAACATACAGGGTATGACGTGATATCTACTTAAACGGTGATCCATTACATCAAAACGGAATTGGCCTAACGAATCCTATCGAATCAGAAATGAAGAGATCCGCGGCCTAAACGATAAAAAGGTTCTCGAGTGAAGGCCAGGAGGTAGCAATCACAGCGTAGGATGTCCCGTCCCCCTCACAAAGTGAACAGACGACCTGTGACCTGATAAGAGTCGCAAGTAGCCGCTGAATGCAGATCGCTTCCAACCTTTTTAACATTTATATATGGGACGGACTCGGCTAAACACCAACTAGATACACTAGATTTGGCTAGAACATATTGAGAGACGTGCCAAGAGGCTTATGCACGACTATGCGCTAATGGACTCAATAGACCACTACAGACGGGGCCCTATAAGGCTGATGTTCAGCCAGGGTTTTTAGTCAGTACCTAAGAGTCTGACACTCCCTCCCGCCCCTACCCTAGGCGGGAGAAGTCATTTGATTTTCTCACGATGTTTTCCTTCACCGTACGTCAGAGGTTTATAAATAATCATAGAAGGTACATAAAGGAAAAGGGAAAAGGAAAAGGAAAAATCACATTGGTGCTTGACAGGTTTCGCACCCTCATGCACAAGAAGCTTAACGTCCGGGCTACCATAACAATTAGACATCATACGTCCTATAATAAAACATTATAATGGCTAGTATTAGTCAATTCTGCCAGCTACCTCTGTAAAGTCCCTGTGTGTAGGTATATATGACAGGCTACCTACGTGCCCCGCACTTTGTTTTTAAACAGTCATAGCGTAGTAAGGTTCAGAAGGTTCACTCTTTTTGATATTCACATCATATATTCAAATCATCAGCCTATAAGTGTACAATGCTGAGCAAAGACCTCTTCTCACACGAAGAAGATTTGAGCATTAATCGCCACTCTTGCTCATGGTGGATTGGCGATTTCAAGCTTATAATACAAATTATAAGTAGGTAAGTCCGTGACTACATGGTAGAAACTCTACCACGGCCAACAGGGACTATGTTCAGCCGGGGCCGTGGGTCAAGGGCAGTAAGGTCTCATGACCTCGGCCTTAAGCAGGAGAAGGAGTAGGAACGGGATTTTTAGTCAGTAAGAGTCTGACACTCAATTTGATTGATTACAGGTAATTTGATGATTTTCCCTCCGCAAAAACAAGGGTTTAGCGCGACCCCGGCTCGGAGCTATAGAATGAACAGTGCATATTTTTGTCAGTTATAGTGTGATATGATAAATAATATTTACCGTAGGTAAATAATACCCAATGGACTTTTTGCTGTACCATACTGTTGTACTTGTAATGTATGTACTATTTTTTACTGGATTAAACATTATTATTATTATAAACTAGCGGCCCGCCCCCGCTACGCACGGGTCCAAATATCTCGCTGTCAAAGGGTCACCTTTTCCTAATCTTCCCCTCTACTTTTCTAATATTTTCTTGATAAGAACCTTCTCCTGACAATAACAAACACAACAAAAAAAGAATTAGCAAAAAGGCACTGTTAAATTATGCGCTTACCAACACATTTTGCGATCCATTTTTATATATAAGATTTTTATATAATAAATAAGTTGATGTAAGAACAATAGGTGCCCAAACGATCACTTCGGGTTTGATGAATTAATATCTCATATCTAAGTAAGATATTCAAAATTGATAGTTAAGTATTTTTACTCAAATAGTAAAGAAACTTTTGGTGCAAAATTGAACTTCTGCCATGATTGTTTTTCCCTAAAAAACTGAATCATTTCTCTGATCGTATATAAACAGTGGAAGCAGACGCCATTGTTGTAGTGTTCCCGCCATCTTACAGCGAAAGAGGTGCGTACCATAAAGTTTGACTTACATATTTCTTAATACCACGTAAGTAAAATTACGATATTAAAATAAAAAAAAATCTTATGTGTAAACACACATAAACACAAAATATAGTTAAGTACTTAAATAAAATATCCGAGACTTTCTTTTTATTTATTTTAATTGTAAAAATGTCAAAATCAAAATGTAAGTATATTGAGAAAATCCCCAATTGGCATTGAGCGTGTCTATGGGATGCGCTGATCGCTTACCATCATCTTATCCATTTCGTTACATATTTAATCCTTATTCTCATTAAATAAAACCCAGGAAAAAGTATCTAATATAAAATCAAACCTCGGCCAAATGTAACACACTTACAATATTATACAATTCAATTTATTTTTCAGAACATGGCAGTCATGAAAAGCATAATTCTAGCCGCGTGCATAGTTCTATGTAAGTAGAAATTAACTAGTTTTAGAACAAAGACAATAGCTGTTGTTTTTTTTTGGTAATAGGTCGGCCAACGAGCAAACGGATTACCTGATGGTAAGCAATCAGCGCCGCCCATGGATATCCGCAACAACAGAGGAGTTACGAGTGCGTTGCCGACCTTTAGGGGATTAAGGATTTGGTATTGGGGAGGGGAAGGATTGAGCCTTCACTAACTAACCTCACTCACACGGCGAAACACAACGCTGTGGTTATTTCACGCCGGTTTTCTGTGAAGCCGTGAGTGATACACTCCGGTCGAGCCGGCCCATCTAGTTTACAGTATCTATTGATAGGATTTTAAAGTTATTTTTAATATTTTTCCCCCGTTTTATAGGCACAGCCCAGCCTATAGAGAAGTCGGAAGAAAAGCTCCCAGTACTAAAGGTGCAACCCGCCGAAGTGCTGTTCAAAGCCGACAATTACTCCACTGCGTTGCTAGAGTGCGCTACTGAAGGGAAGGAGAAAAATGTCAAGTGAGTTTTTTTTTTAATCATATAAACTAGTGCTTGACTGCAATCCCGCCTGATGGTAAGCAGTGATGCAGTTGTTGACGGTAAGGCGCATTCGTTTATTAAGATCCTATTCACTCTGGCCTTGAAGACACCTAAATCATAACTGGACGAGAATATCGTTGTAGGCAAGCTATTCCAATCCTTACATGTGCGTGGTACCCGTGGCGTCAAAGAGCCAATAGACCACCTCAGACGGGGCCATATTATAGAGCTGATGTTCAGCCGGGGTTGCGGGGTAAGCGCAATGAGACACCGCGGACTCGGCCCAGAGCAGAAGAAGGAACGGGGGGGATTTTAGTTAGTAAGAGTCTGCCATTATCTATCGGCTTACCCTGGGCGGAAGAAGTCATTTGATAATTTTCTCCTAACAAAAAAAAGGTGTGCGTGATACCTATAAACGACGAAGAAGCGAAAAATAACTAGGTATAGTTTTATTCATCGATCGATCGATACACTAAGTTTCAAATATTTTTTAGGTAATTATTAAGAAAAAAGTACCTAAGCTATTTGACGCAAAAATACTATTACGTCATAACTCAGTTTTTCATACAAATTTCATAGAAAAGTATAGTTTTTGACATTTGGATAAAAGTATTGAATTTGACTAGTTGGAAACTACCGTATTATAAGTTTTAAATCGCCCATCCACCTTGAGCAAGCGTAGTGATTAATGCTCAAACCTTCTCCGAGTGGGAAGAGGCCTTTTCTCAGCAGTGGGCACTTATAGTATACACAACTGTATTGCTTGTTGTGTTTGTAAACGCCCCACGACACAACAGAAAATTCTTTGTAGGTATGGAGTAAATAACAAAATACATTTCTTTCTATACACATGCTAAATGCTAGGTGTAATAAGTTGGTAGATTGTTGTAGACCTATTGACATAAGGAAATTGTTCCAAGTTATCCTTATAAATAAAATGTCTTAAGCGCAACCGCAATTACCTACTTAGATTTTACAACCATTCATATTGAGGAAAACCGAGTTATATACTCATTGTTCAGAATAGAAGAACAATATGGATACATACCTACCTATCTAATATTCATTGACAAACTGTGGAAAAAATTCTCGATATGTTAATCCCCGCCAGAAATGACAAAGTTGTCCTTGATAGGTCGGCAAACGAGCTGAAGGTAAGCAATCAGCGCCGCCGCAACAACAACAAGAGGAGTAACGAGTGCGTTGCCGACTTTTTGGGGATTAGGGATTTGGAGATTTAGGGATTGGGGTAGGGGAAGGATTGCGCCTCCGGTAACCTTACTCATACGGCGAAACAGAACGCTGTGGTTGTTTGACTCCGGTATTCTGTGAGGCCGTGGTATCACAGAGTATCACTCCGGTCGAACCGTTCCATTCGTGCCGAAGCTTTGCTCTCCCAAACTTGCAGTTATATCTGTTCTGACAGCGGTTTCACCCTCCATATGAGAAGAATAAGAAGTCTACAAGTGTTATTCCAGAGTCCAGACTATAATCTATCATTGTGCCAAATTAAATTCTCATCCATTTAGCAATTTTAAGTGACAGTGTGACAGTGTAACAAACATGCCTACATCGTCAAAAAATTTGCGTTTATAATATTAATAGGATTAGCGGGATGATGTGTTCGTTTTTTGCCCGCTTCTGGATATCGATCTGCCTAAAAACAGGGCACTTTCTCGATTTTCAGCTTTTCACATTTCAGTCCATGTCATGGAATGATGAATTCATCCATGGAAGGGCGCCTACAACTTTAACATAGGTGCAGTTGTCCAAAATATGTGACTGGCCCACTTCCACTTCACCAAACTGCCACTAATTTTTACCAATACTTTGCCCTTTTCTAGGTACTCCTGGCTCAAGAACGGGAAGCCATTCGACTGGGAGAAAGCCGGACACATTGCCCAACGCCCAGGAGAAGGAAGCCTCATGTTCTTCAATCCTAAACCTGAAGACGAGGGGAAATACCAATGCCTGGTGGAGACACCAGCTGGAACCGCTAGCTCACGCCAGATCCAGCTAAAACGAACCTTCATCAATGCCCAACAAGTAAAAACTCAAGAACACACTCCAATTGAAGGAAAACCATACAAATTGGACTGCCCTATACCAGAATCCTATCCAAAACCGAAAATTGTCTGGAAAACACAGCTTCGTTCGGACCCATCCATCGTTGAAGAGTTCCTGAGCCGCAGAATCACTTTATCTCCTGATGGTACGCTATGGTTCTCGAATGTAACGGAATCCGATGTCAGTCCCAGCTTCAAATACGTCTGCTTCGCCCAAACTCCGGCTTCTGGTGAAGATGTGGTGTTGGCTGAACATTTTTTGAAGTCTTTGGTGCAAGATAAGGGTCCTAAGGATGGGGAGTTGACTCCTCAGTACGTTAGCAATGATATGGTGGCTAAAGTCGGCGATATCACCATGATCTATTGTATTTACGGTGGAACGTAAGTATCTTTCTCATTATTTTTTACTACCGGCTTCGAACCGTGCCACCTTATCCCATTCTACTTTTCTAATATTTTCTTTGTTAAAAACCTTCTCCTGACAATAATAAATATAACAAAAAAAGAATTGGTAAAATTGGTCCCGGTTTTGTTATGTGCTTACCAACACATTTTTCAATGCATTTTCATATATTTCAATTTATCGGTGGCAAAGATAGTGTTGTACTCTGCCAATGAACTATTCTTAAATGTAATAGGAGCGGGACTGCTAACATACAGCCGTCGTTACATTTTAAAATTTTCGTGTCGTTCTGTCTAAAATAATTTGAATCATAAATCGAATACAGTAATAACTCTTTATTCAGAATCTTAGGCTGCAAATACTTATATAGGTATTAGATGGCATCTTTGCAATCCGACAAAATGAAAACGCGAACCAAGGAAGCGCGCATAAGGAGCCTTTACTGTGTTATAACTTCTAAGTCTGCAGGTTTGTTTTCACGGTCAATAATGTACAAATAATATGTAACTCAATTTAAAATAGTAAGGGCAAAAAATTTAATAGGTACAATATTATGAAAAGTCCTCAATGTCGTTGTTCAATAAAGTTACAATTACGTTTAACAGAACAATTAGAAGTACCGTAAGCGTTATTGTTACACAGACATCTAAAACACTTTTAATTATCCAGTGAATGCAGTGAGATAGAAACGAAAAGATAGAGTCAATAATTACCTACACATCCCATTGCTGGCTGTATGCAGTATTGTCTTCGTCTGTCCCGTTTTTAGTAATGGCAATTTTCGCTTTTGAATATTTGTGATTGGCGCTTGGCGCGAATATTATATTTGTTTAAAACATTTAGCATTTCACAAAACGCATAGTAGGTATTATTGGTGATGAGAAAATAATATTTATCACAATATTACTAGCGAATGTGTCCGATCATTCTGAATTGCGAATTTATTTTAATCTCTTCTTTTCAAAGACTTCTCAGTTCTCATATTGATTTTCGAGTAAAACAGAGTCCAATCCTTGGCTGAAATTCGTTACAAGTTACTTGGTGTTCGGTTCACTGTTTATGACCACTTAAGCAATGATATGAACGACATTACTTGTTTTTTTATGAGTTATTTATGCCATTTTATTCGGAATATTCTGAGTATGGCAATAAAGTTTGTAATGTTAATTATTGTTCAAGCACTTAATGTATTTATTGTTTATTTCTACATTGTTACGTATTTATTATCCTTTGAATAGATAAAACATTCATATCAAAATGCTCATTTTTTTATAGGTAAATAAAATACCGCGAGATTTTAATGTTAACGATATTTTTTACATTGACATCTGTCAATTTTAATTGTCATTGTAATTTTTGTACAGGTAAAATAGAAAATATTTACCTTTTGACGTCTGGTCATAAAATCTTCTTTCTTATAAAAATGATAATTATTATTTAATTCATATAGATATGGTAGGTTAGATTGAAAAAAGATTGAAAAGTACGTTCAAATTTCAGTCTCTTTGATCAAATGTTAGATATCTCAGAACTTCCCGCCATATTGCATTCCAAATGAAATTCACTTCTGCGATGTAGGAATTGTTATCAATTGTGTGAGCCTGCACAGTTGGAGCGGTGGCTGGGCAACGCCGCGGGTACGATTCCTGCACGACATAGGAGACAATCCTAGTGTGGGGCAACGTTTAATAAAAAAAATGGCTTAATCAGTTGATCTTACCATAAAATCGTTCTTTCTTTATGGATAGCTGCAAGTCGAATTTAATATTATATTCAATTTCAGCCCACTAGGCTTCGTCACTTGGTACAAAGACGGAAAGGAGATTGACGCCAAGCCAGGTGACAGGGTAACAGACCACAACCGCACCAGCGGTAAGAGGCTGCTCATCAAGGACACCCTGCTGGAAGACCAGGGCGAGTACAAGTGCGTGGTCAGTAATGAAGTGGGCAAGAAACAAACTCACACCATGAAGTTGACCGTAGTCAGTAAGTATTGAAAAAACAAATTTATTTTGAAGTTCCATGTTTACTTGAGGAGTCTTACTTTGGCACGGAATGATACCTTGGCTCAGTGAAAGCCAACGGCGACGTAAAGTGACTTGCAATGAGATTCGGTTTATAAGTACGGAAGATTAGGGAAGGCTTATATCCAACTTCCCCACATCCTATTCCTTAAAGAACAAAAAGGCTGGCAACAAACTTGCAAATCTAGTCTCCATGGGCAACGCCGGTTGCTTCACATCAGGCTACACGTTTGTTCATTTATTTCGCCCTATTCTTCTAGGTGATTCTATCATTCGGCTGGCCAATTATAGGGCGATACTATATATTATATTTATTATTCATGAAATCTATCAAAAAATTTTACAGGTGCTCCAAAACTCTCCAAAAAAGCGGAAAAGCAGATCAATGTGAAAGAAGGCCAAGATGTCTCCATTCCGTGTCAAGTTACTGGATTGCCTGAGCCTAAGGTCTCTTGGACTTACAACGCTAAGTCCCTTGGTCAAAGAGCGATATATAAAGATGGTGTATTGACTATCAAAAACGCTAAAAAGGGTGATACCGGCTATTACGGGTGTAAGGCTGAAAATGAGCATGGAGATTTGTACGTGGAAACCTTGGTTCATGTCGCTTAGACTGCGTAGGAATGGCTAATAATTTTAATCTGTCTACCTATATAGTTATAAGATCAAAGTTTTGTGGTTCAACTTACAAACTAATAATACCTAATATAAAAATATGTACCTAAGCATGTAGCTTTGTCTTTTTTTTATTTCCATTACTGTAAGTGTGGGAGACCCGTGCTTCGGCACGAATGGGTGTGCTCGACCGGAGTGATAATAGCGTGAAACAACCACAGCATTGTATTTCGCCGTGTGAGTAAGGTTACCAGAGTCCTAATCTTTCCCCTCCCCGAATCCCTAAATCTAGAAGTCCCTAATCCCAAAGGTGGGCAACGCAGTCGTAAGTTCTCAGTTCTTCTCATCAGACTATGGGTCGGCTCGTTTGCCAAACTATGACATAAAAAATTACAATACTGCATTAATTTTCCAAAATGTCAGGGACATTGATGAAATCCGCTAGAATATAGTAAATGGAAACGTTAGATTGGCTTCCATAAAAGATTGAAAAATTAAAAAAAAATCAGGTACTTAATTAATATATAATTAATAATAATACATAATATCTTTGATACTTTGCTTGAATAATTCAACGAATACAGAAACTAAAATGACATGGTATCAAAATCTTTTATACTGATATTGACTTTGACAATAATAGAATTAGACATGGCATATGACATTTTAATGACAACGCGTATAACCTTAGATTTTGAATAGAAAAATTCAAAACAATAGCTAAATTTAATTAAAAACCATGTTTTTCTTATATTTCTTAAGTTTATTATCACTAGCCGTGCAGGCTACATTTATAACTTTATCGATTGGTAAGTCCTACCTTTATTTTTAATCGAAAAACGTAATTTAATTTATAATTTGCGAAAAATCTATTTATGTGCGATGGTTTCATAAATTCAAAGATTAAATAACTGTTTGTTCTATAACTTTTAAATTTTCACCATAATTACCAATACTTTGTATATGGTTTTTTAAATAAGAATCAAATCGGAAATGTTCGAAATAAACAAAAATTATTTACAAAAAAAATAACCGCTTAATCATTGATCATAATTTATTCTGAACTTTAATAGACCCAAATACTTAATTATTCTAATTTATTTATTTCCTGGGCATAAATTAAAAGAAACAATTGATAAACATTCTTTACTAGCCATTTCTATAGCCAAACAATGTTTGGCAAGACTCCAGTAAAAACATTAGCTTAAAACATTAATTAATATCTCAATTACACATTAAACATGTCTTCATTAATCCAAATTAAATTCACAAAAGAGGCTTGATAATAGTCCACCTCCTTGCTCTCTTAATTTAAAAAGTTTATTTACGAAACTCCTTGTATTTTTTTTTCATACAACTTTGGTGATGATTTCATAGGTAAAACTGTCTATAGGTGGCCAGTAATATGTTTGTTAGGTACCCTTATAAGAGGGCCGTAGACTTGATGTAAAAATTCCATAAACCATCAGTTAGTATTAGTAGTTATAGAAAAAGTACAACATACATATTTTATTAAAATTAAAAAGTAGTTTAGATACTACAATTCAGAGTATTTATCACCATCTTTTAAGAACCCACTGGTGAGCAAGGGCCTCTTATCACGCAGATGATTGTTTAAGCATTAACACTTGCTCAAGGCAGATGGGTAATTTGGAACTTATAATAAGAAATTATAAGACCAGGTTTCCTCTCTATGTTTTTCTTTTGCTTGTCAGTTTTGGCCAAACACATAATTCATATATAACATAAATGTGTTAGCAGAAATTTTTAAATTAAATTATATGAGGCACATATTTTATTTTATCTCCCTTAAAAATCTCTCAAGGTCATCTCTAGAGAGATTGCTGACCTGCTAGGTTTTATTTTTACATTTAAACGTAGCAGAAAGCCTTGTTAATGCATAAATAAAAAAAAAGTAATGGTGTAGTTTCTTACTTTTTCTTTTCTTTTCTTTTTCCATGTTAATCTATATTTAAGTATTAACAGCTGGTATTCCTGATGGACAGATAGACAATTCAATTTTTAATGATTAAGAATTTATAGAAATAATATAACATAATTGCGACACTAGCAAAGTAGCAACCCACCCCAACTTAGCTCCCCGAGCGTACGGCTCGTAGCGTTCCGCCCGCGCCTCAAAGAGCCAATAGACCATGACAGACGGGGCCCTATAGGGGTGATGTTCAGCCGGGGTTGCGGGGTAAGCGCAATGAGGCACCGCGACCTCGCCCCAGAGCAAGAGAAGGAACAGGGAGGTTTTTAGTCAGTAAGAGTCTGACACTCCCTCCCGCCTGGCCCTAGCCGGGAGAAGTCATTTGATGATTTTCCCCTCACAAAAAAAACCCCAATTAGCTCATATCCGCATTGCACCAATGCTGATAGTATATTTCTCCACCATTTAGAGGCTAACATATTATACATATAAACATTTTTATTCCATTACTCCATTTTTACAAAATATGCATGACATAGTTTTAAAGATTTAAGCATACATAGAGATATAGGGACAGAGAAAGCGACTTTGTTTTATACTATATAGTGATGATGAAAGTTGTATTTGAAAGAAACCCTTTTAAAAAGAACTTGTCTATGTTGTTTTCAGCGGCCGGTCTGTACTATTTAGCTGAGCTAGTGGAGGAGTACACTGTTATGGCAAAGTATATCATTACCTGGACTGTTATAGTGAGTATCACGAATTTTAGTTAATATTTTTAAACTTCCACTGTTAGTAAGAACTTTTTTTTTCTGGCAACACATGAGAATTTTTTTTTTAAGTCATAGGTCACAAACTAGGATTGGGATTACCTGATGGTAAGCAGTCAGCAACGCCCATAGGCATCAGCAACAACAGAGTGACAATATTGTCGTTAGGCCTCCTAAGCCATAAAAAACACTATTTCGGAAAAGAGACGTCACAAAATGGTGGCACGTAAAAAAAAACACAACGACCCCAATAAAAGTCCCCACTTCACATTGGTATACGGTCGTTCCCAACTAGTCAAATTCAATACTTTTATCTAAATGTCAAAAACGATACTTTTCCATAGAGTTATGAGGTCATAGTATTTTTACGTCAAATAGCTTACTTAAAAATTTGCTAAAAAATATCTAAAATTTAGTGTATCGATCGATCGAAGAATAAAAATACATCGTATTTATTTTTCAATATTTTGTCTCTCGCCACGCCCAGGGCGGAAAAATAATTTGACTATTTTTTTAAAGGGTGACATCAACAAAAAGAAAGCTTCCGGCGGACACATTTGAACTGTATAAGCTTGATAATGCATATTTATTTCTTACTCATGATATTTACTGGCTATGTAGCGGTTCAATCCACTATAAGGTAAATCTTATATATAAAAATGGATCGCAAAATGTGTTGGTAAGCGCATAACTGAACAACGCCTGGACCAATTTTGCTAATTCTTTTTTTGTTGTGTTTGTTATTATCAGGAGAAGGTTCTTATCAAAGAAAATATTAGAAAAGTAAAGGGGGAAGATTAGGAAAAAGTGATCTTTTGATAACGAGATAGTTGGACCCGTGCGAAGCGCGTGCGGGCTGCTAGTAAGCGATAAAAATAAAAAGTTGTGCATAAAATAACAAAACAAAAATTAAAAATTAAATGAAAATGAAGGGCAAGAAAACAAATCAAATCTCTAAACCGTGGCAAATTAAAACGACAAAAGAGAAGAAAAGAAAAAAAGGAGGTCGTGTCTTGCAAAAAAAAAAAAAATCCAAAAATCGCCATAAGGCTGCGCCAGCGCCGACTGCTTACCATCAACATAAAGGCTCAACTGGCCATATCCTATAAATAAACCATTTATTTTCCAGGGTACAGCCTCAATACACATAGGTCTGCTAATCTTTGAGGATATTCCTCTATACCTGAACGCCTTGGGCCTCGTCCAGCAGGCGTTCCATATGCTCCTGCTGAAGGATTTCCCAGTCGTGCGGATAACGAGCATAACATTTGTGGCAGCCGTCCTGACTCTAATTCTACACCATTACTTGGCCTTCAAATTCTTCGGGACTGTCTATTATAGTTTTTCAGAGGTAAGGTTACATTTTATTTATTTATTTAATAAAGTATGTTTACATATTCGTTATGTGCACGATGACAGCGCCCCTAGTGGCCGCAACTATTCAGGACTTGTCATCTGTCAAATCATGTCAACTAGATGATAAGATACTGATTTTCGACTAGTTTTTCAACGAAATTGAAAAAAATAGTGTAAAAAGTGAGTGTGTATATTTACACCTAGCGATTTTCTTCCTCGTGAAAAATATGGATATAATAATACGTAGGTACGGGATTTGAATTTTAATTCTCTCCACAGTAGCTATCCATTTTTATCTTTGCTGTAATGTGTGACACTTTGATGTTGGAAACGTATAAAACTTGCATGAACTGTTTTTCCCATTGTTTTTACAATTTGCAACACAGCATGTACTATGACCCATATCGCAATTTTTTACGTTTTTACTTAAAATTATAAAGGAAGTTATGAAAGAAAGCAATTTGACAAATGTCAGTCCAGAATTGATTCACATTTCTGCCACGTCGTGCGCTACGATCGATTTGCCGTATGTGCCCTACCACCCACTTCGCACATAGCGAATAGGGTGACTCGTAATTAGTGACACATATTTCCTATATCGGATATTTAAACACGTGATTATACCCATAATAGCAAACAACTTTACCAAACAAACTTTTTTCTCTATACTCATTCGTTTTTTTTATTGCTACTTGTAACGAACTTCGTGCGCCCGATCAGCTGTTAGCGGCGAGTCCTCGCGTGACCTCGATTGAACTTTACCCAGTAATTTTATGATACTAGTAAAAATAACCCAGTACCTATGTATGTACCTCTGTTTCTGTATTTGTTTTTCTATTTACTGTAGGTATGTGTGATGTGCATGAATAATAAACAAATAAATAAAAATGCCATCATGTCTGTCTCTCAGAATGGATGTAGAAAGGGGTCACGTGGAACTAAGGAGCTACTCCTCATTGATATGGTCATTAGCCAGCAGGTTCGTCGATCCCGAAAGGATTTGTCTACATGCTGGATAGATTATAAAAAGGCTTATGACTCCGTACCACATACATGGCTTATGAGGGTGCTGGAGTTGTATAAAATTAATACAACTCTGCGCAACTTCTTACAGTCATGTATGAGGCATTGGAGCACGGTGCTTTCCTACCCAGGATGTAAGCAAATCCAAAGGAGTGAAGAACCTGTAAGGATAGTGCGAGGAATATTCCAGGGTGATAGTCTGAGCCCACTATGGTTCTGCTTGGCCTTGAATCCTCTCAGTACTTTACTTGAGGCTTCAGGGCTGGGCTATCGTTTGCGGAGAAAAGGTCACGTTATTTCTCACTTACTTTACATGGATGACCTCAAGTTGTTTGCACCAAACAAGGAGGAGCTGATGGAACTACAAAAAATAACTAAAAATTTTAGTAGTTCCATCAGAATGGAGTTTGGTGTTGATAAGTGTGCGGTCATGCATGTAAAGCGAGGCGGGATAGTGGAATCTGAAAGTCTAGAGCTGTCAGATTTCACAAAACTGAGATCACTCTCCGCAAATGATACCTACAAGTATTTGGGTATGTCGGAAGGATTGGGTATTAATGGGCCGCACATGAAACAATCTTTACAGGAGCGCTTCTTTGGCCGCCTGAATAAGGTACTGAAAAGTTCGTTATCAGGCGGCAACAAGGTACGCGCCTTTAACGGTTGGGTCATGCCGGTCCTGATGTATTCTTTTGGCATACTCAAATGGACTCAGACTGAACTTGACATCCTGGATAGACGAGTCCGGACGCTGCTGACTGCAAATCGAATGCATCATCCTCGTTCATCAGTCATGAGGTTGTACATCCCGCGGAAGTGTGGGGGTCGAGGCTTTCTAAACGCTAAGACCCTTCACAACCGTGAGGTGTGCAATCTCAGGGAACATTTCCTGAAAGTGGACGAGGATATGCATCGAGAAGTAGTCACAGTGGACAAGGGATTCACACCACTATCCTTGGCTAAAGAGAACTGGTGCAAACCCGTAGTACTGAGCGTCAATGACCGCAAGGCGGTATGGAGTAGCAAGGAGCTCCACGGACGCTTCTTTCGGGCTCTCCACGGGCCCGATATAGATTTTCTAGCGTCCGTAGCTTGGCTACGATTCAGTAACCTCTTCGGAGAAACTGAAGGATTTGTATGTGCAATTATGGACGAAGTTATCCTCACGAATAACTACCGGAAATATATTATGAAGGATGGGACGGTTGACATATGTCGGGCATGTCATAGCTCCGGTGAATCCATCAGACATATTATTTCCGGCTGTGGTCGTTTGGCTAATGGCGAATACTTGCACAGACATAATCAGGTGGCCAAGATTATCCATCAGCAACTTGCTTTGAAATACCGGCTTGTTGAGTCTGAGGTCCCGTACTACAAGTATGTGCCCGACCCAGTTCTCGAAAAAGACCATATCACATTGTACTGGGATCGGTCTATCATCACAGACAGGACTATTGTAGCCAATAAGCCTGACATAGTGGTGGTAGACCGACTAGCGCGTCGCACGACGATAATCGATGTTGCCATTCCTCATGACGAGAACCTCGTGAAAGCTGAGAAAGATAAACAATTGAAATATCTTGACTTAGCTCACGAGGTTGTTGACATGTGGAATGTGGACTCGGCCATCGTTGTGCCGATAGTTGTGTCGGCAAACGGGTTAGTCCCCAAAAGCCTCGACAACCACCTTAAGAGGCTGACGTTAGGCGGATGGATCAAGGGCCTCATACAGAAGGCAGTCCTCCTTGAAACGGCACGTATTGTGAGGAGGTTCTTGTCTCTGGAGCCCTAACCGCCGGCAGCTTGGACCTTGCTCCCGCTGCCAGCTGGCTCCTACTTTTATATTTTTAAATATTATTTTATTTTATAGTAATATTTAAAAATGTAATTTTAGAGCGATTTTAATAAATATATAAAATAAATAAAACTAATGACTATAGAAAAACAGTCTCTTTGGGAAACAAGCCTTTAAAACAATATTTTTTTATAACTAACTGTATAATGTTTCCGTAATGCATACTTAATTAGATAATACTTAGGTCTTTACCTATGAAATTGCCGTTCTGCAGTACTGGCCATTTCAAATCATAATAGTTTTTGTTAGGCTAATGTTAATTAATTTTGTTTTAAAAACATGTGATTCTTTTTCCAAAAGTAGTAATTTGTTTATTGATTAGTGTTACATTTTCATCGCATTTCAAATCAAAAAATTCGTTTAAATTTTTTCATGCAAAACGGCAATTTCATAGGTAAACACCTATTATCATTTAGGTGACTTATTCACCTCATTTTTTTGTACAGCCGATCAATTTCGGTTCCAACCGGAGTCCTTAATTGTTAACTAATCTCGGGATGGCATAGTGACTAAGTTTTGACTAGTGTGTAACTATTAGGTATCTTTTTCTCTTTTTACTGAAGTGGTATTTAGTGCTACTGCCTGTTTACGTGCCCATCCCAAACTATATTAATTTATTGACATTATTTTTAACTATTTGCAATCATAAAAAAAATAATCAAATCAAAGCCTGTATATCAAACCTCTATTTAGTTAGTACTTTAACAATTAACTTTTAAAACTATTGTTGGTTTTGGCTATCATATATCGATAGATCAGTAAGAGTCTGACTCTCTTTCTCGTCCTGCCCAATAAGGCGATCTCCCTTCCTCCCCTGCTCAAAATACATTAGGTATATTATACATTGCAGGTTCTATCATACTTCACGTTGTGTCTATGGGTGGTTCCCTTCGCGCTGTTCGTTTCTCTATCCGCCAACGACTACGTGCTGCCCACCACTGGGGAAAAACAACCTTTGTTGTTAGGTAAGTTACATACATTTCATCACTTTTACATTTCAAACACGACTTTGTTCAGTAGAAGACGTTTTAAAGCGCTAAAGATTATATTTTCAAGTCTAACAACTAGCAGTACCTATGGCCCTTTTCAAGGTTGTTTTGGTAGAGCTATTCTTTATGCAACGTTCTCACAGACGACTCAACCTAAAGACCACGCTTTGGCAGGCATATGCATTCGCCAAGGTAAGGCAGTGACACTGCATAAGAGCCAGCCCCGTCCCTATCTGTTTCTCATTCCGCCGCCGATAATCAAAGCGAAACAACAACATTGTCAATTTTGACGTGTCCTTAAACGAGTTAATGGAAACTAGACTACCTCTCCCCGCAACCCGCCACATTTTAGCGATTTTGTTTTCGTACTGAAGTTTGTTTACGCGTGGCCTTAAGGTTGAGTCGTCTGTGAAGGTTCTTAGTTAACTAATGCGCTTTACCATCAACGATTGCATCACTGCTAACCATCAGTTGGGATTACAGTATAGCACTAGTTAATATTACCTAAAAAAAATTCCAAGACAAAATTAAAGCATGCTCTTTTTTTCTTATGGCAACTTTATTGTTTAGTTGTTGGCTATACTGCCATCACCGGGAATGCGGTGTAATCGCAATGAGGCACCGCGTCCTCGCCCCACAGCAATAGAAGGAACAGGGGGGTTTAGTTAGTAAGAGTCTGACACTCCCAACCTGGGAGTTATTTGATAATTTTCCCCTCACAAAAAAATGGGTGACGGCAGATAGATATAATAATATATATAGTACCATCTATACATATTTACGTACTTCGAGACGTATAAATTGTAATCTTAATAGCTTAAAAACAAGACACAAAAAGCATGTCGTGGTGGCCTGGAGGTTAAGGAGCCCGCTTCTCATGCATGAGGGTATGGGTTCGAAACCTGGCAAGTACCAATGTGACTTTTTCCGAGTTATATGTACTTTCTATGATTATTTAGACACCACTGACATACGGTGAAGGTAAACATCGTGAGGAAACTTGGACTTATAATTTGTAAGTTTGAAATCGCCAACCCGCATTGAGCCAGCGTGGTGATTTATGCTCAAACCTTCTCCTTGTGAGAAGAGGCCTTTGCTCAGCAGTGGGCACTTATAGGCTGATGATGATGAAACTTAAAAAAATCTAATTTCTAATTATTTTCTTTCACAGGTGACAATAATGTTTTGACAGATTATTTGGCGCGAAAATCGAAGAAATATAGTCTGTTGTCATTCTTCAGTTTTGCGAAGGATTCCATTTTGCCACAGCGTAGCAAGAAAGCGTTTTAATGTGACCAGTGTTTATTTATTTATTATTATATTACGATAGGTATAAATAATTAGATAATTAATACAAATGTACTAATACCTCCTTAATACAAAACAAAATCTTAACACCCGGTTTCTGAAAGGCTTGTCAACGCTAAAATTAACTAATCTCCTGTTAAATCTCTTGTCAAGTCATCTGATTGGTTGTTGATAATTCAGTCAACCAATCAGATTACTTGACAAGAGATTAAATTGATTTTAACATTGATTGGCCTTTCGGAAACCGGGCGCTAGGTTTAAACCATTGAATCCAATGATATTATAAGTAAAATGGTATAGATAGGTTACATAAACAACATTCGATTTTCAAAAACGACACTAATGCACACATGAATAAATCGTATGATACACGTTAAAGTGAGATGGCATGATTCAATAATCGCGAGTGAAAAAGAGACAAACATGAAAAAGTGTAGCTAGTTAGCCACATTTTAATGTATAACTTGCTGAGCGCTTGTAACCTATCTACACCTTTTTACTTATAATATCATTGGTTGTTAAGACTTCCATTACGTTAAAACAATTGTTATTTCTTCATTTGTTTTTTACGTAATTCCATCGTTGTGGTTTGTTAAAAAACAATCCACATCAATCTTAGCTTGAGTATAGATTCTGTAAAAACATTTTTGGTACCCTATAGGTACTAATATTATAAAGAGGTAAAATTTGTAAGTTTGTATGTAGGGGGTAATCTTTAGAACCGCTGTTCGGATTGCTAAAATTCTTTCACTGATAGATAGCTACAATGTTCCTGAGTGCTATAGGCTAGTAAACATCACGCTACGATCAAATGGATCCGAGCAGCGTGTGAAACAGCGCGAGAAAAGCTACTATCAAAATAAATAACCTAATTTATTTAATTTATATAGTTAATTTAATATTTATTCTAATGTTATTAAAGTTTTTTTTTAAGTAGTATATAATATGGGTGGTGTATTGTATATCTCTGCTATGCCCCTTTGGAGTGAAAAGCTGTCATAGTTAAGGATAACCTATAAGAAAATTATTTGTGTGATCGTATATCTACCTGTGTACATATATGGGTTAACTTATATTTAAACACGTGACTGTACTCATGATAAAGAACAACTTTCCCAAAGGAACTCATTTTCTATACTCATTCGTTTTATTTTTATTACTATAACAAAATTACTGTGTAAAGTACAAAAGAGGGATTAATAGAGAAAGTGTGGGAGAGCCATGCTTCGGCACGAATGGGTCGGCTCGACCGGAGTGATACCACGGCCTCATAGAAAACCGGCGTGAAACAACCACAGCGTTGTGTTCCGCTGTGCGAGTGAGGTTACCTGAGGCCCAATCCTGCCCCTCCTCCAATCCCTAATCCCCAAAAGATCGGCAACGCACTCGTAACTCCTCTATCGTTGCGGATGTCCATGGGCGGCGCTGATTGCTTACCATCAGGTAATTCGTCTGCTCGTTTGCCGATCTATTACATTAAAAAAAAACTACTCGCGCCCGCCGTGCATCGCTCGATCAGCTGTTAGCGGCGAGGCCTCGCGCAACCTCGTTTGAACTTTACACAGTAATTTTGTTATAGTAAAAAAAATAAAACTATTGAGTACTAGCGGTCGCCGGCGCGGATTTTTTTATGGGACAAGCCCGTCGCAACCTCCCCAAACCGCTGCAACTCCTGTACACCAGGATCTACAGTAGATACAACCATGAAAACACCGGAACACTGAAGTCCGGCGCGTCCCAGGGACATGAATGACTGTCTTGGATCCCGCAACGAAATAAATCACAAGATATTATTTGAGGAGAAGAAAAAACGAAACAGTTTCCACATCCCTCGGTAAATTTAATGCAGGAGACAGAATGCTTTAGGCCTTAAAGGCACAGAAAAGACTGTACAACTGGGAGAAGCCCAGTCACTAAAACCACGGAAAATTTTGTATTGTTATTATAATGGGACCTATGTGTGAGCTCGCGCCCGCTTGGATGTCGAATTAACACTTTTTGAAATCTTCTCTACTTACAAACCATCTCTGGTCTTCAACGAATAATTCAAGACCAAAATTAGCCAAATCGGTAACTCAACAATGACTAACATTGTTGAGTTATAAGTAATATTACCTACAACGAAAAGTGACATTGATTTTTATATTTTTTAGGAAAGTTGTTCGTTATCATGAGTAAAATCACGTTTTACTATATTTTTATTATAACTTTCGTGAGACATTCTTAATTAATTAGGTATTATGTTTTCGGCTTACTTACTTAATAATTTGACGAGATATTCGCGCTTCAATATGTTGTATCAGCACCACAGTCGCCGAGTTGCGTGTCGCGGAATGCTGCTCATGAATATGGGCCTCTAGCATGGCTTGAAACTAGTCGAGCATCTCGTCAAATTATTACGTGAGTAAGCCGAAAACATAATAATTAGTACAATCACGTGTTTAATTATTTGTCACATTACCAGTCATCCTATATATTTTACTCCTATAATTTTGTTATAGGTAAAATGTTTTTACTTTGATTGTAAATTTGTTACTTAAAAAGCACAAAATTGACATCCTGAAAAATTACACTAAAAGCTATTTTAGTCATATTCATTTTGTTGCTTGCAAACTTAATGACTCATAACTACTTCCCGAATGGATGGAAAATATTATTATAGGGTTACCAGAGCAAAAAAACATTATCAGCATAGGTAGTTTTGTTTATGAAAATACTCAGTTAGCATATTTTCTTCGAATTGCGAGCAAATATTAAGAGCCTGCTTCACTATGTTCTAGATAAATTTGAATATAGAAGGTAATTTCTATGCATTATGTGCCACATACGTTTATAGGGTAAAACAGGCGCTTTAAAAAAAAATAAAGCTACATTTCATATGTGGCTCAATAGGGCTGATATTCAGCCGGGGTTGCGGGTTAAGCGCAATGAGGTACTGTGGCCTCGACTTGGATCAAGAGAAGGACGGTGTCGTTTTTAGTCAGAAAGAGTCAGACACTACCTCTGGCCCCGCCCAGAACGAGTGGGTCACACAGTCATTAGATGTTTTATCCCTCTCAAAAAACCTGTATTTATTAGAGAATTTTAAAACAATTGAAATAATGGTAATTAATCAATGATATTATAAGTAAAAAGGTGTAGATAGGTTACAAGCGCTCAGCAAGTGATACATTAAAATGTGGCTAACTAGCCACACTTTTTCATATTTGTCTCTTTTTCACTCGCGATTATTGAATCATGCCATCTCACTTTAACGTGTATCATACGATTTATTCATGTGTGCCGTTTTTGAAAATCGAATGTTGTTTATGTAACCTATCTTTTTACTTATAATATCATTGGTTTATATCCCATTTTATTCTACTAAACCTAACCAAAATAGTTTTTGTCGAAAATAAGACTACATTGTAGAAAAATATGTTTATAATACAAAAAAAGGAATGCTTTTTAATTTTTATAACAGTAATTAACTTTATTGAATAAACTAATTAAAATAATAAAACGGCATATTTACTTAATTATTCAGAGACGCTCGTCTTGTTTCAAACCATGATAGTTAGCTTGCTGATGCGATTTCTATGAGCCCCGGTCACGACACGAAACCAGTCGAGCTTCCCCGAATAATTGTTTGAATCGTTTTTAAATTAGTAAACTCTTTTTTATTATAATTACGTTGTACAAAATGCAATAATTTGTATATAGATGATGTAAATAGCTATGTATAAAAGTTTTTGTGTTGCGTCAAAATAAATGTAACCGTGTGAGCGTAAATCTAGTTTTATTCTATATTACTTACCCGCTTAGCTGTCGTCGTTTTGGGCTTTTGGCCGGAGGTAAGGCGCCCGATTCTCATGGGGCGGTTCGACCGGAATGGTACCACGCCTTACGAAGAAACCGGCGTGAAGCAACACTTACGTTGTGTTTCGTAAATACGTTCTAGGTGTAATTGTTCTAAGCCCGCAAGAAAAAACTCTTGTTGTTTCGGGTCTGGGTGTGATACGAAATTAAATAAATGTTTGTAAACGCACCCACGACACAGAAAATATATACCTGCGGGACAAAGTTTAAAAAAAGAACTGTCAAACGCAAATATTTTTTTATTTATTTCTCTATCACGCCTGGTGGTAAGCCATGTCCTACGATGGAGCACGCCTACGCATAAGCAACCTATTCACTCGGGCCTTGAAGACACCCTGATTATACCCCTTGGGGAACATAGATTCCGGCAAAGAATTCCACTGTTCGCCACCTTCAGATGGGTGCCAAATAACAGCAGGAGGGGTTATGTTGGATGAAGTACCTGGGTCTCGTCTTCGACAGCGAAGCTGGAACGGACTGGGCCCGCGCTCAAGCGGCTTCTTCCCAACCTGGGGGTGCCAACAGCCTGCCATATGGGGATCGTGCGATCCATGGCCCTCTACGGAGCCCCTGTGTGGGCGCCGGAATTGAGGCGGCGGCCAGCTCGTACGCTGGTCGCGTCCCAGAGGATCATGGCTATTCGGATAATCCACGGATATCACACAATTTCCGGGGAGGCGGCGAGCCTCCTTCCCGGATCACCGCCGTGGGATCTGGAAACGAAGCCTCACGCGCGTTTACAGTTTGCGCACAGACTTGCGTCGCTGAGGCGAGGATGCCCTGCCGCGTCGATTAGTGCATGGCGGAATGAGCTCCGGCGAGATCGCGAAAGTAGGTCCCTGTCTCTGATCCAGCGGGTGGAAACGCCCGAGTGTCGTCATTGTTAGGACTACCTAGAGGACACGGTGGAGCATACGGTGGCGGAAAAGATAAAGATAATTTTACTTATTAATTTTATTTGTTTGCAGCGCGGTGTGCCTTGCTTAGGCTGAGCACTGCCGTGTCCGCAGGGAAGTGATCGGCGTCGGCGACCTCTCGCGCCTGGCCTTATTCGAGACTATGGAACTGGGACGCCGTCTCCAAATTCTGTGAAAGCACTCGCAAAGAAGGAGGCGGAAGTCGCATAAGGAAGCAATCCTCCCCTTCACGCCCCAGCCGCTGCTGTAGGCGACACTCCGGGCACCGTATGCGGCAAGTAAGGGTTAGTTGCCGCCCGAACAGATCCAGACCCGAGCGTCCTGCGCGCGCCTCAAAGAGTTAATAGGCCACCACAGACGAGGCCCTAAAGGGCTAATGTTCAGCCGAGGTTGCGGGGTAAGCGCAATGAGGCTCAGCGGCCTCGGCCCAAAGCAGAAGAAGGAACGGGTTGTTTTTAGTCAGTAAGAGTCTGA